CCCCGAGCCGGGATGGGGGGGCTTCCGTGCAGGGCCTCCAGCTCTGTGTCTGTGCAGACCTCTCCGTAGCCCCTCTTCCCAGGGCCGGCCTCAACCTGAACTAAGCCAGGTGACGCGCTTGTTGGGCGGGCGCCGTCCCCTCCCCAGGCGCCCGCGGCCCCCTGCCTGAAGCACCTCTGACCTCCTCCCCCCTGTCCCCGCAGAGAGCTCCGAGGAGGAGGAGGAGGACGACGCCCCATCGTTCGCACCTTCCAGCTCAGTCGACGGCAATAACACGGACTCCGAGTTTGAGAAAGGTCTGAAGCACAAGACCAAGAATCCGGAGCCCCAGAAAACTGTGACCCCCGTCAAGGATGAGTATGAGTTTGACGAGGACGACGAGCAGGACAGAATCCCTCCCGTGGACGACAAACACTTGCTGAAAAAGGATTACAGGAAGGAAACTAAGTCAAATAGTTTTATTTCTATACCCAAAATGGAAGTGAAAAGTTACACTAAAAACAGCACGATTGCACCAAAGAAGGCGTCTCACCGCATCTTGTCGGACACGTCAGACGAGGAGGACGTCGGTGTCGCCGTGGGGACCGGGGAGAAGCTGAGACTCTCAGCTCACACGATGCTGCCTGGTAACAAGACACGGGAGCCTTCCAACTGCAAGCAGCAGCAGGAGAAAAATAAAGTGAAAAAGAAGCGAAAGAAAGAAATCAAGGGCAAGGAAGTGCGGTTTGGGAAGAGGAGCGACAAGTTCTGCTCCTCCGAGTCCGAGAGCGAGTCTTCGGAGAGCGGCGAGGACGGCGGGGGCTCGGCGGGGAGCCCCGGCTGCCTCAAGGAGTCCCCGCTGGTGCTGAAGGACCCTGCCCTGTTCAGCTCCCTGTCCGCCTCCTCCACCTCGTCCCACGGCAGCTCCGCCCCCCAGAAGCATAACCCCAGCCACGCGGACCCGCACGCCAAGCACTGGCGGACAGACAACTGGAAAACCATTTCCTCTCCAGCCTGGTCCGAGGTCAGCTCCTTATCAGACTCCACGAGGACGAGACTGAGCAGCGAGTCTGATGGCTCCTCCGAGGGCTCCAGCGTGGAGTCGCTGAAGCCGGTCAGGAAGAGGCAGGAGCACAGGAAGAGGGCCGGCCTGCAGGGCGCGCTGCCCGAGCGGAAGAACTCCTTCCACCCTGGCGGGGACGGCGCCATCCCCAAGCTGGACAAGGAGGGCAAAGTCGTCAAGAAACACAAGACGAAGCATAAACACAAAAGCAAGGAGAAGGGGCTGTGCTCCGTCAGCCAGGAGCTGAAGCTGAGGGGCTTCACCTGCGAGTACGAGGATGGCAAGCAGAGGGCGGACAAGGCGGCCCTCCTGGATGGCGCGCCGGCGGAGGGCAAGCTCAGAGGCCCGAAGCACGAGAGGGACCCCTGTAAGAAGGAGGAGCAGCCCAGCAGAGTGCAGTCGGAGGAGAGGGAGTGGCTCTTCAAGGGCGAGACGGCCCAGGTCTCCCGAGAGGAGAAGCCGCTCAAGAGAATCAGGGAGCTGAGCAAGGACGGGGGCAGGGCCTTCCGGGAGAGGGAGCGGTGCGGCAAGGCCGACAGGGAGGGGCCGCTGAAGGAGAAGTCTCCGAGGGAGGAGAAGCTGAGGCTCTGCCAGGACGAGAGAAGGAAGAAGCCCAGGGACAGGCCCTCGAAGTTCGAGAGAAAGAGTGACTTTAAAGAGGAAAAAGTTCCTAGAGAGAGGGAGAAGCCCGATAAACTCAGAAGGGTGTATAGGGAGGGGTCTGCTTTGGACGGCTACTGTGACGAAGGTCAGTTCCTGGACGACGACGACGACACCAAGTTTAGCCTTTCCGACGACCAGGAGCGGTGGTTCTCTGACTTGTCAGATTCGTCCTTCGATCTCAAAGGGGAGGACAGCTGGGACTCTGCCGTGACAGACTACAGGGACATGAGGGGCGAGTCTGTGGCCAGGCTGATCCTGGGGACGGTGAGGGAGGACGGCAGGGAGAAGAGGCGGGGGAACAAGGCCCGGGAGAGGCGCACGGACAGGGCCGCCTTCTCCCGCAAGAAGGGCAGGGGCTGCCCGGAGCGGGGCCGAGAGCACGCCGCCGACAGGCGCAGCGCCGCGCCCGGCCGCCTCTGCGAGAAGGACAGGAGGCGGCGGGGGTGTGCGGAGGGCGGCCGGGACCGGAAGGAGCCCCCCGAGGCCGCCAGGGAGCGGAGGGATGGCCGTGCGAAGCCCGAGGAGGCGCACGGGGCGGACCTGAAGGAGGGCGGCGGCGAGGGCGTCTTCAAGGACCGGCCCGACTGCGACCTCGGCAAGAGCCCGGAGCCCTGGGAGCGGCACCAGCCGGCGAGAGAGAAGGAGAGGAAGGGGAGGCCAAAGCCGGAGCGGCACAGAGAGAAGCCCGGGGGCGGGGGCAGGGGCGAGAGGCCGAGCCTTGAGCGGCGCCAGAAGGACAAAGAGTTCGAGAAGTGCCCTAGAGAGAAAAAGGACGCCAAGGAGAGGCACAAGGATGTGCACAGCAGGGACAGAGAGAGAAAAGCGCCTCTCGACCACGGTGCAGACAAACGGGAGAAGGCTTTCCCCGGGACTCCCTCCGAGGACGTCTCTGAGAAAAAAGATGAGAAGAGGGGTAAAGAGAAAAGCTGGTACATTGCAGATATCTTCACTGATGAAAGCGAAGATGAAAAAGATGATGGCGCGGCGAGCGGGTCCAAAGCCGGGGAGGCCGGCGAGGGGCGGGGCGACGGCCCCCCCGAGAGGGAGGACGGGCGGGAGCCGCACCCCACCGACAGGCACCGGAAGCGCTCGGCCGATAGGCAGCCTGCGGAGAAGCAGAAAGACAAGGAAACCAGAGAGAAGAGGAAGGAGAAGGGCGCCGCGGACGGGGGGAGGGGCAAGCGCGCGCGCGCCCCGCCGCGGCACAGAGCGCGGAGGGACGGGGAGCCCGCGGAAAGGCACAAGGACAGGAGGGACCGAGCGTCGGCGGACTCCGCCCCGGACAAGAGGAACAAGCAGAGGCTGCCCGAGAAGGGGGAGAAGAGGCCCCCCGCGGAGGACAAGGCCCGCAGCGGGCACCGCGAGGGGCCGAAGGCGGGCAAGGGCGCCGACGCCGAGAAGAGCCTGCTGGAGCGGCTGGGGGCGGCGGCGCTGCAGGACCTGCGCGAGGACTCCAACGACAAGGCGAGCGACGCGTCTTCAGACGGCTTCCCCGACCGCGGCCGTGACCCGGGCCTCGGCGCCCTCCTGGAGGCGCCCTTCCCGGAGCCCCCGGAGGAGCGGGCGCGGGAGCGGGAGCGGGAGCGGGAGCGGCACCGGCACGCCTCGTCCTCCTCCAAGAAGAGCCACGACCGAGAGCGGCTCAGGAAGGACAAGCCCGAGAAGAAGGAGAAGGGCGACGAGCGCAAGGACGCGGGCGGCCAGTACGGGAAGGAGGGCCCCGAGGCCGGCGCCTGCGGCCCGCCCTGCGGCCCCGAGGCCGACGCGGAGGGCGAGCCGGAGAAGGCCGCCGAGCCGCTCGCTACCGAAAAGAAGGAGAAAAGCGACCCTGACAGAGAGCCTCCCAGGAAGCCGGAGAAGGAGCTGAGGCCCTACGGCTCTAGCACCGCGAGCCTCCTGAAGGAGAAGCGGCGGCGCGAGCGGCACCGGGAGCGGTGGCGGGACGAGAAGGAGCGGCACCGGGAGCGGCACGGCGACGGGCCCCCGCGGCACCACCGGGAGGAGCTCAAGCCCGCGGCCAGGGACAGGGACAACCCTCCCGGCCCCTCCCGAGACAAGCCCAGGGACGAGGGCGGGAAGCTTGGCGAGGCCAGGCTGAAGGAGAGGGCCAAGGAGAATCTGGAGAAGGAAAGGGGCGACCCCGTGAAGCTCAGCAATGGGAACGACAAGCTCCTCGCGGCCAGAGACCCGGGTAAGAAAGACGTGCGGCCCCGGGAGAAGCTCCTGGGCGACGGGGACCTGATGATGACGAGCTTCGAGCGCATGCTCTCCCAGAAAGACCTGGAGATCGAGGAGCGCCACAAGCGGCACAAGGAGAGGATGAAGCAGATGGAGAAACTGCGCCACCGGTCCGGTGACCCCAAGCCCAAGGACAAGGCCAGGCCCGCCGAGGACGGGCGGAAGAAGGGCCCGGACGGCCCGCCGAAGAGGCCGCTGGGGCCGGACCCTGCCCCGAAGGACAGGAAGCTGAAGGAGCCAGCTCCTGCCGCCCCTGCTGCCGAGAGCAAGCCCCACCCGGGACCCGCGGCGGACCCCCGAGACTGGCTGGCAGGCCCCCACATGAAAGAGGTCTTGCCCGCTTCCCCCAGGCCGGACCACGGCCGGCCCACCGGGGTCCCCACCCCCGCCTCGGTGGTGTCCTGCCCCAGCTACGAGGAGGCCATGCACACGCCCCGGACCCCGTCCTGCAGCGCCGACGACTACCCCGACCTCATGTTCGACTGCACAGACCCCCAGCCCGTGTCCAGCACGTCCGCCGGCGCCTGCTCGCCCTCCTTCTTTGACAGGTTCTCCGTGGCCGCCAGCGGGACCTCAGAAACGCCGGGCCAGACACCTACGAGGCCGCTGTGCGCGAACCTTTACCGCTCGGTGTCCGTGGACATCAGGAGGACCCCTGAGGAAGAGTTCGGACTCGGGGACAGGCTGTTCAGACAGCAGAGCGTCCCTGCGGCGCCCAGCTACAGCTCGCCGGGGCAGCACCCGGAGGACAAGGCCCCGGGGCCCCCAGCACCCACCGAGAAGTTCGCCTGCCTGTCTCCGGGGTATTACTCCCCGGACTATGGCATCCCCTCCCCCAAAGCGGACGCCTTGCACTGCCCGCCTGCGGCCGCAGCCAACATCACCCCCTCCCCAGAGGGCGCCTTCTCTGGCTTACCGACAAAGTCCCCGCCTTCACACAGAGACGAGCTCTTGGCCCCGTCCATGGAGGGGGCCCTTCCCCCTGACCTTGGCATTCCCCTGGATGCCACGGAGGACCAGCAGGCCACCGCGGCCATCATCCCCCCGGAGCCCAGCTTCCTGGAGCCCCTGGACGAGGGCCCTTTCAGCACCGTCATCACAGAGGAGCCGGTCGAGTGGGCGCACCCCGCCACCGTGGAGCAGGGCCTCCCCTCTGGCCTCATCGGGGGCACCCCCGAAAACCCCGCCAGCTGGCCCGTGGGGTCGGACCTCCTGC